TAAAGCAAATTCGTATTCCCATAGTGAAAGTTCGATGGAACTCTTTGCGAGGGCCTGAATTTACTTGGGAACGTGAAGATCAGATGAAAGAAAAATACCCCCAACTGTTTGACGAAACCCCATCCATAAGATAAATTTCGGGATGAATTTATTCTAACGGGGGGAGAATGTAACACTAGTCAAAATAGGTCAATAGAAAATCACACGTGATTATGCCAATCATGTAATGTGATTATGTTAACCTAGTAATGTGGTAAGAGTGTTATGTAGTTCATGATAAATTCTAATACAAATATGAATCTTCTTTATAATACAACTCAAAGTATACGTCCATACGATCCCAAAAATATAGAGAATGTTTGCATCTGACTTCGCATGAAGAAGTTATGATAAACCGAACACTATAAATATCTATAATAAGAGGAATTTAAAATAGACTTAGAATTATCTATTTAAGTCTAAAAGAGAGTTGTAGTACTCGTAAATACCTACGCGTGGATATAAAGAACGTCAAAAACGGAGTTCGTATGCAAAAGTTATGGCCTTCCGAAGATATCGCTGTCAGAAACCCTAATTTGACTAAACTCACGACGTGAGGACTCAAACCGCCACATTTCGGATCTAGAAGGTGTGACGAGGCTGCGAGGGGATAAGATCCAAACTCACGACGTGAGCAAGGATTGATTCACGTCGTGAGGAGTCAAAGGGACACCATCCGATGCTAGGGACCAAATGGCGGGTCTATGAAGTGAGCAGGATCGAGCTCACGACGTGAACATACTTGGTTCACATCGTGAATGGCCAAAAATCAGCCTATAAATAGCAAATTCGACCTTAACACTTCTTACACCTAAAATCTTCTCTCTATCTCGTTTTTGGAGGCCATTTTGCATCCCGAGTCCCGACGAGCTCGTACGCTGACCGTTTTGCTTAGATAACATAAAATCACGCTACTAGGGTGAGTTTCACGGCCCCACTTTCTAATATTTCGGGGGAAAACGCATGCTAGATATTATATATATGTTATTATTATGTCTATATGACAGTATATAGTTATAATAGCTGTTATACTGCCTAAATATTATGAAGTTAGGAGTAATGTTTAAAAGCATAGTCTAGTAACTTAGGGTTTTAGACATAAAGATGCTTTTGTTGTTAGAGCTATAGGAAGCCGTCAAATTCTACATGAGTAATTGTATTAATCAACTAAGATTGGGGATCTTAGTGGAAATCCTCTGAACTGTAACCGTTAATCCCGTGTGAGCGAGGAAGTTGTGTATAATTAGTATACGGGTTGACCACCCCACTTGTGACTGTTAGCTACAGTCAACCAAAAGCAAGTGATGAACTATCCTTTTATTTGTTATTGTTCCGTCGTCGATGAAGCGTACGGTGTTGTTTCTCATGGTAAATCATGAGTGTGTTTGTTTCTCATGGTAAATCATGAGTGTGTTCTATCAGAGGTATTATGTCATAGCAGCGGTTACAGGCTCATGGTAGCAAATTGTTAGAAACATTATACTTTGTCGTATACAAGTAGTAATGTTAAGTATAAGTTTCCCCTACTTATACCTTAGGATTAAGGAATGTTTAGGTATAACACTTAATTGATAATTAAACTATTATACCTAATATACATACTAAATGATGGAGAGTCAAAATGATACTTTCAAAAACTATACTTTTGAATGTGGAAAATGTATTATTTTATGGAGTCAAAACCTGTGGACTCACCAACTTTATGTTGACGTATTTTAAAATGCATGTGTTTTCAGGAACTTGAAAAGCTGGTATGTATTCGAACAGAAGAAGTTTTACTATTACCTTTCTGTTAATTAAGAAGTATGCCATAGTCGGATAATATGTAATAGGTTCTAGAAAAACAGTTATGTAACTTTCAGTTATCAATAAAGGTATGTATTTTCTTTAGTACTGTTCAATGTATGTTATATAACTGTGATACGAAGAATAACGTGACACTACCCGGTGTTTCCGCCGATGGCTGGGGGTGTGACAAGATCCATAAAAATCCAATCTTGGACGTTAAAATTAAGTCATGCATGAGATAAGGACTTAATGAGGAAAGAGGAAAGGTGTTTGGAGTGATTGGTGACCTTTACAGCCATGCAAAGGCTTAAAGGTTTCGACTTTATGGGTTAAGGGATATTAGAATGGCCAGATCTGAAATATGAGCTTATGTCTTAACCATTTAAGACCAAAATCTTAAGGAGTGGGAAACTGGGACTTACGTTGGGCGTAATCCCAGTACGCGCAGCGTAGGGGGTCGAGCTCCCCGATTCTGTGGAACCTTCGAGTACGCCCAACGTACAGATATGGTATGCGCCGCGTACTCCGGATGGTTGACTTTCGTTGACTTTTAGGGTTTAGTCAACATTTGGACCTTTGGACCATTTGAGGGGTAAAATGGTCTTTTACCCTTATGAGAGAATATAGGGAGGGACTAGTCTAGCCTTTGAGAGTCGTATTAATTAGAGATAATTATTTCGTGTGATTAGGCGGAGGCTAGATCAGTATTTCGAGTTCGAGTTTATCCGAGTTACCGAGGAGAGTCTTCTCACTATACATTACCTAGAGTGGTATCTAGGTGCAGACCGGAGGGTCTTATGAGTTATGTTATCACTTGAGATTATGTGCATTGTGATTTATGTATGCTATGTGATATTTAGACCGGACCGGAGGGTCCAACGATTTAGACCGGACCAGAGGGTCCAACGAGCTAGACCGGACCGGAGGTTCCAACGAGCTGCGGGACTGGAGGGTCCCGCCGAGACACATTGACCATAGGGTCTTACCGAGTTATAGCCTCGAGTGGCTTATGTGTGTTGTATGTGGTATTTTGGAGAAGTCACTAAGCATTTATGCTTACCGTGTTATGTGTTATGTGTTTCAGGTACTAGTGAGGATCGCGGGAAGACGCCTACATGATTTGTACACACTGGCAGGGGATTATGTTTTGAGATTCTGGGATATGTTTATTGTGATGACACTTGATATTCATGAGATTTTTGGGAATATTATATAAGTTTATTTATGTTGAAAAATGAAAAATTGTTTTGAAAATTTACGTTGTTACATCTTCATGCTTGGTACCTTGATCATGGGACCGTCATTGGAGATTCAGAGGAGGTGGCCAGAGTATTGGACATCATTAGGGTGACAGGCTGGGTTGAGCTGAATATCAAGAAAATTGAGCTATTTTGGCCTTCATGGGATGGTAGGAAGCTTCGTACAGGTTTATTCCCTGTTGACATTTGGCGACCGTTATTGGGGGTGAAGCTTTTTAGGGAAGCTGCTAGTAGAGATGCGAGTTTTATTAGCGGGTTATCCATGAAGAGGGCTGCCAAGGCTATTGATTTGATGCGTTCTACCATAGTTACATGACCCCCATAGTGAGCTCCTTTTGCTTCGGATTTGCATGGGCATCGCCAAACTTTTCTTTGGCATGAGGACGTGCCAACCCGTTCACATGGAAAATTCTACTTTTGTGTTTTGATAAAGGGTTGTGTGGGTTGATTGAGGAGATTGTAGTTTGTGGGGGGTCCGTTCTTTGGGGACCTTCAATGGCGACTGGCTTCGTTACCAATTAGGTTTGGTGGTTTGGGGTTGCACTCAGCAGTAGAGGCTTCCTCCTATGCTTTTGTGGCCTCACGAGCTCAATCGTGGGTATTACAAGACCACACCTTACGAGATAGTGGCATATGTGGTATGGATTCAGATTATGTTTGTGCTTTGTCATGTCTTCGTGATACGTTTCCGGGCTTTGACTTCAGTGGGGTGTACTTATGGTCCAAGGCGTCGGGGCTCAAACTGCATACGTGCAACGTACCATTTGGTACGCTCATCGTACGCAGCAGGTTTCCTTCTTAACGACTTAAGAGCTTAATACTTAAGCTATAAAGGCCAAAATACAGATCCAAGTCCCAAATATCATCCTTGACCATAAAGTTTCCAACTTTATGGTCTTGCATGGCCAATAAGTGCTAAATGGTAAAGACCCCACCCTCTTAATTAATTAAGACAAACAAACACATACATGGAAAAGGATTAAGAGCCAAGATCCTATTTTTAGGCTTCTAAACCCCTCAACTAGAATAGACTAGAGCATGCCATACTCCAAAAAGGACAAAACTTGGGACAAAATGCTCATGAAACAAGGACTTAGCAAGATCTAATGAAATATGAGCCAAGTTTGAAACTTTATACCTCTTGGAGGTTGCTAGAGAGGTGAAGAGCCCAGGTCCAAAGCTTCTTCAAGCTTGCAAGGTGGTTTTCTCCTCCTTTAAGACCACCAAACACACACACACACAAGGGTCAAGAATGCTCAAGAGAGTGGATAGGGTTTGCTAAAATTGAATGGAGGTGTTGGTGGCTAATGAGAGATGAAGTTGGAGGCCATAATGGTGTTTAAATAGGGTCCAAACCCTAAAAATTAGGGTTTGAGGATTTCTCAAGTACGTCCTGCGTACTCGATGTACGCCCAACGTACTTAGACCCGTACATGTACGGTCAACGTACACAACGTACGCCCAATGTACTAAGCCTCAACCTAGAATTTACAAAAATGCCATTATGGGCCATTTTGCTAACTTTCTCATACATAAGGGCTAAATACCATAAACCTTCATACTTAAGGGTTAAATTTGAAAATACCTCAACGTCGAGATGTTACATTTATGTCCTCCTACATTGGCCAATAAACACTTCACATATGAACCTCTGCTTGATATCAACTATCATCTCCATAAGCTTAATCTTTGGTTTATTTTCAATCTCAGTCATGTAATGTCTCACAATCCATTCATGGGACACAATTGAACCAAACTTGAATGAACTAAAGCATTTATGTATCTTGCTAGTCATAGTTTTTATCTTTAATGACCTTCCTTTGTACATCCAAGCATCAATCTGAAAGGGCACAATTTTTCTTCATTTCATTTTCAACATTTTGCAACAATTCTTACATTATTACACTTGGAAAACTATATCTGATACCTATGAGACACAACATAATTTGCAATACAAAATTTTAGTTGCTTAGGGGATTCCAATATATCACCAAGATTTAGTTCCATCTTGTCCCATATGATGTTTGGTTCATGAACCATGTACTTAGGTTTTCCTTCTTCCCCAACATCATCATCACTTTCCCAGTCATTTTCATGGTATACTCGTGCTCTCATTTCAGCAGACATACTAGCATTACGTAGGGTAACATCATTAAGTAATATATTCAGGAAAATTTCCTCACACTTATCTAGCGTGTTGATAAACTCATCCTCTTTGTTCATGGTCAATGTAAATACCATGAAGTTCGAAGTCCATCTCATTCAAGCCAACAAAAGCTCGTTCAAAGAAGCAAATAGGCCGTTCCATTCTTCCTTTGATGAATACATTCTTTACTTCTACATAAAAGTAATGTTACATAAAGTCATTTAAACTAAGAAATCAAAGAAAAAAATTCAAAATTTCGTCGTAGAGTGTAAGCAACTTACCTATGATGGTCGTCTTCTATACCTAGCTTACACCATCCACAATAATGATCGACTTCTTCTACAGAAAAGCTTCTTGTATCAATCAAAACCTAAAAACATTAGAAAATACAGAAAGAAATATGTGATAATCTTCCTGGAGAAATGGAGCAGACGTACTTTGGTGTAATGGTGATGAGCTTTATGTTCTCGATATATAACGAAAGGAAATAGGGAATGAAACGTTAGTTAATGATAGGGTTAAGTGGAGTTGTTACCGGATGACCTGCTAAAATACATTTGTGACAAAAAAGAGCCTAAATGTTAGGCATTACCACACTTAAACTCGCAACAGGGACATAACCACACAAAATTGAAAAAATTAGGGACTTTTATGTCATATATATATATATATATATATATATATATATATATATATATATATATATATATATATATATATATATATATATATATATATAGGGAAGAGTTATTTGGAAAACAAAAAACCCTAAAAAAACCCTAAAAATCATAAAAATGCATAAAAAAATATTTAGAGATCATAAAACTTTTTTTTGAATTTTTTTATGAAAATATCGCAACTTTTTTAATAAAATCGCTGAAAAAAAAATCAATTTTTTTTTTATAAAAAAAATTGGTTTTTTTACAAATTTTTTTTACCGATTTTGTATTAAAAACAGCGATTTTTTCATAAAAAAATTCAAAAAAAAGTTTTGTGATCTCTAAGTATTTTTTTTATGCATTTTTATGATTTTTTAGGGTTTTTTGTTTTCAATAGAACCTAAACCTATATATATATATATATAAATGACTCGGTCCTTGAAAAATGAATTGAACCGATCCAATTGAACTGTAATTTGAATGGTTTAGAACAGATTTTGTTTTAGTTTTGACTTTTCGGATCCATATATTAAAAAACAAAATCAACATGAATTCACTCGATAAGATTAGATGGAACCAATTTATTTTAACAAACATCCCTATGCGCTATTGAAATATGAATTTTAGTTAATTTTAGTATTTGGATAAAAATATGATTCATATGATTGCAAAAAGATACAAGTATATGATTGATTATTATTATTATTATTATTTTTTCTGTTAAGATATAAAGATACAAAAAGACCTTGAAACGTTGATGGAATTTATCCATTTTGTTTTTTTGTTTTTTTTTTTTTTTTTTTTTTTTTTTTTTTTTTGCTGCTTCGTTATCTCACTTCCGTGAGTTCCGTCTTCCGGTATATCGCCAATAATTGCATTCGGATTGTTAAAAAAAACTTTTTGTTTATTAACAATAATAACTTGTAATATCGTTTTTATACATAATATTTATAAATTTTATGGCATTTGAACATCCATCTAATTAAACTACCTATTAGTTAAATCATCTACCAAAGTCCAAAGAACTTATAATCCAACGTTATTTGATAATGAAATGGTGTCTTTTTCGAAAAACTTTATTAAACTTTTCTTTTTTCTATGAAAATTTAAAAAGGAAAAAAAACGGGGAGAGGATAATGTGATGGTCAATTTTATGGAGAGAGTGACGTGTAGATGATCGCTTTGGGCATCCAGAAGCCAACGACCAAATCCTTCTCCAAGAGGCGAAGTCAACTTTTATTTGGTGATGGTCAATTTTTAGAGTTGGTGCATGCAAGGTGATTATGGGATTGAGGAAAGATGTAATCAAGTGAAATTCTGTTTGTGTAATCACTAATCATGAAATTCAGTCTAATTTGATTTATAATATACTACCCGTACCCGTGTACAACATGGGTTTATTATAAATAAAAATTTAATATCAATATTTAAATATTAAATATTTTATAAAATAACACTTTTACATAATACAATGTAATCTTTTTGAACATTTATAAAAGAAATCAAATATTTTTTAGAGCATTTATGAGACTTTATTATCAAATTAATAGAATAATTCTCTTTTCTTATAAAACTCGTTAGAATTTTATGAAATTTTATTTTAAAAAAATATAAATTCCCAAAAAATGACAAGTTGAAAATAATAATTCTAAAACTCCCACAAAATTATATGTGGCAAAACTTTTGAGAATTTGACAAGTGACAAAAAGACCTTCATTTATTAGAAAAGATTAAAGAAAAATATAATGATAGAAACATTTCAATTTAAATATTTGGATATTTAACTAATTATTGGTTTGGATGTGATTTGGTTTTTAAAAAAATATTATTACTAATAAGAATCACTTGCATGATTTCTATAATAAACCATTAAATTGTTTGGACGTGTGGTTGAATGTGTTGATTATAGGAATTATAATGTAATTTGGCTCAACCAATTTTAAGCATTTGTTTTTAATATATAGTTTTTTTTCGCTTTTTTCATGTATGTATTTTTATTAATGTAATATCAAGAGATACCGAAAGAAGGAAAAAAAACGAAAAAAGATGAATTCTTGGTAGCTTGATGGACCAGATAACGTAAAAGGCAGAATCTCTTACTAGGTATGAATTTTAAATAGTGACACTACTTGTGTTATTCAATAGTAATTAATTTTATTATAATCAATATGTTGTTTTCTTTATTTTGTATCATTGTAATATTTCTTTGTATGATATTTTATGTTGTTGGAATGTCTATTTGAGTTGATATTTTAGTATATTGAAATGAGAAATTAAATATTCTAATATAGGGTAAATTACATCATTCGTCCCTCGTGCATATGCCAGAAAGCGTGTTTAGTCCTTATTTTCAAAAATTAACTCGGATCGTCCCTCGTTTGTTTAAAACTTGCACATTTCATCCCTCTGGACATAAAATGACATTTTTACCCTTATTTACTTATTTTTGATTTATTTATTAATTATTAATTACTAATCCATTAAAAATATTATTTATTAAATATGTGAGCCATTTGTATTCAGCCATTGGAAAATTACTCCGACTACCATCACCACTTCCGGTCACCACCACCACTAACCTCCGGCGAGTGCCACCGCTACCTTTGTTACTCGAGAAAACACATGCAATCCATGTTCTAATCCAAAAAAAATGCTAACCCAAAAATCCATTTAAGACATCAAAGCTACTTAAAACATAAAATCCAGAAACCCATTAACGACATCAAATTCATAAATCAATACTTACATAAACTAATACACATACATACATAGACAAAAAACTACAAATCTTGTTTATATCTTCGTATGAATTTGAAGAAGAAACCCCCATATGAAAAAAAAACTTCTGATGCAAATTCGATTTCTTATGATTTGAAGCCTAATAAATCAGATATTGGTTCGATTTCTTCTGAACAGTCAAATATGAGGTGCAATCATGGGGAGAAAATGAAGGAGAAGGAGATGGGGGTTTGGTCGGAAACAACCAAGGAAACAACAAGATCTAGGGTTTGGTTGCCGCAGGTCGGGTCTCAGAAATCGTTGTTGTTCGTGGTCGCCAGATGATTTGGTGGATCGATCAGGGGCAGTCAGCAGTGGTCGTGATGTCTCCTTTAGTCAATGTCCGAGCTGCAAAGAGGGTTGCTCTTATTCTTTTTCCGATGGGATAGTTATAGATCTGAAAATAACGATGGTCGATTTCAATAAATTGGGTAGTTGAGTCTGTTGGTGGTTGAGTCCACATTTCCGACATGAATCGAGGAGGTGGTAAGTGGCGATTGTCAAGCAGGTTCTAGTGGTGGTTGTATCTCCGGTCGCCGGATTTTGAGTTTAAGGGGAGGTAAGGGCGATATGAAAAGTGTGAATGGAGAATTAAGGTATTTCTAGGTAAACCGGGGGTGGGGTGATAAGTTTAATTGTTTATAAGTTAATAATAAATGTAAAAATAAAGGATTAAAATTTATTTTTTGTTTTTCTTATATAAACAAAATAAAAGAGTAAGGGCAACATAGTCATTTTATGTTAAGCAAAGGATGAATTGTGCAGATTTAAACTAAGGAGGGATGAAACATGCAAGTTTAAACCAAACGAGGGACGATACGAGTTAATTTTTGAAAATAGGGACTAAACACGCTTTCTAGCATATGCACGAAAGACGTTTGGTGTAATTTACCCTCTAATATATTTTCTCCCTATTTAATTTTCTACCCATATAAAATAATAACAAATGTTATATTTTGATAAAATTAATAATATTTTAAGATACCTGTCACAATTTCATCAATTTCACATAAATATACAGACAAGTAGAAAAAAAAGAAAGGAAAGGGATATTTAATTTCTCTTATTTAAATGCCCGACTAACATGTCATTCTCCAAACCCATGTTACACATTTTGAAGTAGCAAATTGAAGAACCATAATGAAAAATCAAAACCGATTGACACATCCAACTGATTTGTTGGGTGTTATTTGATAGTCTACGACCGAATTAGATCGGAATGCATCAAAATTTGATGTATGTTTATGACCGAAGAATCAGAAAATTCTAATAAACAAAAGCTTATTGTCATATCAACCTTTAAAAGAGAGCCGATAAAAAGTATATAAATTAGCCCATAAGAGAGTTTATTTAGGCCAAAAGACAATTTATTAGACCATTAAAAGCATGCACGAAAAGTCGAAAACCCCTTTGATGTGAACCGGAGTTAATGCGTTTGTAGTTGAGATTATTAGCCCACCAGCACCGTTTATATACACGCGCGATTCTCCGCTATGCCCATCTCTATTTCACAGCTGCTTCTTTCTCTCTGACTTCGGTTGCCGGCCGGAGTTTCTATATCGCCGCCTTACGCTCACACAAATCTCCGATCATCTCTCAATATCAATCAATAAGAAATGGCTTTTGAGAAGATCAAGGTT